GGGGGGAAAAACCCTTATAATAAAGCTTTAGTAACCAAGACTATCAAGTGTAGATATATAGACCAATGAATAAAATAGAGAGTCCTAAAATAAACCCTCCCATTTACAGTCAACTGATTTCTAGCAAAGATGCCAATTCAATGAAGAAATGATACTCTTTTCAACAAAAGGTGCTGGAACCAACTAGATTTCTACATGCAAAAAAATTAATTTAGACATTTGGCATATACTACACACAAAATTAACTCAAAAGAAATCATAGATCTAAATGTAAGAGTTAAAACTATAAAACTTCTAGAAGAAAACAGAAGAATATTTTCATGACCTTGGATAGACAAAAATTTCTTAGATGCATCACCAAAAGCATAATCCAGAAAAGAAAAAGCTGATAAACTGTTCTTAAAAAAAATTGAAAGTTATTGTTCTTCAAAAGACTCTAAGAAGAACATGAAAAGAAATCCAAAGACTGAGAGAAAATATCTACAAATCATATAGCTGATAAAGGACTCATATCCAGAACACATAAAGAACTCCTACAACTCACCCCCATAAGACAACAATCTAATGGGCAATCTAATGGGCAAAAGATTTAAAATAAATATTTTACCAAAGAAAATACATAAATGGTTAATAAGTACATTTTATTTTTATAAATAGGTTTTTAAAATGCTCAATATTATTACTCATTCAGGAAATGCAAATTAAAACCATAATAAGCACTTTACACCCACTGGAATGGCTATAATTAAAAAGAGACAATAACAATGTTAGGAGGATGTGAAGAAACTGGAACCCTCGTACTTTGTTGGTGAGAATGTAAATGGTATCACCACTTTGGAGAAGTTTTGCAGTTTTTCTTAAATAGTTAAACCATATAACTCAGAAATTCCACTCTCAGGTAACTACTCAAGAGAAATAAAAGTAATGTCCACATGAAGACATGTTTGAAATGTTCATAAACCTTTAAACAATTCAAATGCCCATCAATTGGTGAATGGACAAACAAAATGTGATACATTCATACAATGGAATACTGTTTAGCAATAAAAAGGAATAAACTATTGATACGTGCTACAACTTGGATGAACCCTGAAACTATGCCCTATGAAACGTTCAGAAAAGACAAATCTACAGATACAGAAAACACACTAGAAGGTATGTGGAGCTGGGGACGGGAATGGAGATAGATTGCAAATAGGCACAGGAGTCCTTTTTAAAGTTATGGAAATGTTCTAAAACGAGTTTGTGGTGCAAAATTTTGTACATTTACCAAAATCATTTAATCATACACTTAAAAATAGGTGGATTTTATAGTATATAAATTATACTTCAACAAAGTTGTTTTTAAAGAAGTGGCCAAGAAGTTAAAAACAACAACATAAATATGAGTGCTTCTCCTACCTCTGCTGGATATACTGGGCATAATTTGAGGAATCATATTATTGCTTGTATCCATAGGCTGGGAATTATCTTGACCCATTTGATCATCAGGTGGCATATAGGCAGGAGGAGGTGTATCAGCTAAGAGGAAGAAAATGAAATCACCAAGTTAAAGTCTCAAAAGAATAGCTAAAATTAAAATCTTCATCCTGCTCAAAGTTATTACTCTAAAAGCATTAAAAAATTCTTAAGGTTACCAGCAGGGTTCATTACATCAGACACACAAATGTAGGGCTGTGATCCAAGGGGAAAGGAAAAGGAGAAAAGACGGCATGCCTAATAGCTACTAAGAATCTACTATAAGCCCATGTTTATTTAGCCCAGATCCCTGGTAACCCAGGATACTAGAATCACAACCAAAATTCACTAACATAGAATTCGAGGTCAAAAATTTTGTCTTTATTTGCACATGCCCCAAGAAACTACAATTACTGCAAATCAATCTGAAGGATAAAGATTATCCTAGTTTGGGTATACACATACTATAGAGATACTTATCAATTATCAAGATCATCATATACTGTATATTGTCATTTAAAACTAGAAGATAAAATCATGCCCCTTGAAAATCTGCCATCAACACTAATAGCAACCATCTAATTCTTTTGCAACATCCAAAAATGACCATTGTCCTATTAAATGGCTAGGTAATTCAATTAGGAAACTGAATGTTAATCAGAAAATCTTTTAAGTTCCAGCACTCATGGCTGAAAATCTTTGCAAAAGCTACTGCTATCTTTCTTTGTCTCATTAACTATAAATATTGAATATAATTTGTCTTTCACCCCAAGGTTTATACAGGATATCTTTTGAGACAGCCACAATTAGCACTGAATCTAAGACAAAGTATGAAAACTTGTTTTTCAGGAAATTTCTAATAGCAAGTTAAACAGTTGGTATTTAATTCCCCTTCAAAAAAAAAAACTATATCAATTTATACTTTGCTGCTATAGAGAAATCACAAAGAATATATGGTAGGTCCCTGAATAACATTTTGTTTAGTGTCATTTCATTATAACACTGATGAGGAAAATAATAATAATAACAATAATAATCATCATCAACTCCCAGCCAGGGCCACCATCTGTGTGCGTTTTCTCTGGTACTCCCACATCTCAGAGATACGCACATTCGGTGAATCAGCACGTCTAAAATGGTTCCAGTGTGAGTAAGCATGGAGGGTGTGTGTGAGTGCGCCCTGCCATGGGATGGAGTCCTGTCCAGGGCTGGTTCCCACCTTGTCTCCTGAGCTGCCTGGACAGGCTCTGGCCACCCTCGACTCTGAACTGGAATAACTGAGTAAATAATTATCTTACTCGTTTTTGTTAATCTTTCTTAAATGTATATATGGCTCACATTTATTTCAATGTTTAATATCAGAAGTGTTTTGGGTATTTATTTAGAAGTTTGGATATTTCTGTGACCAGAAACATGCCCTAAGAACTTAATGTTTATTTATATCAACCACTAGCCTATGGTAAAACTGGTTTTGTCACATGTTGTTTCATTTAAAGTCGTAGTTTCCAAGAACCTATTGACAAGTGAGGACTTACTACAATCACATATCACTCTGTCACACAATAGTAGGTGTTCAATTATTTTTTGATGGTGACAGAATGATGCATCTATTCATGTGACATGCCATTAACAAAATTTAGAAACTTTACAAAATCTACTTATTAACTTTCTCCAGTCAAACCAGTTCATCAGTTATCTAACTAAAGATAATCAGGGTTCATTTTAAACTTCCAAAGTCTAAAATGATTTGAAAAGCAATGCAGTCAAGCTGCAAGAGCAATGACTTTAGAGTCAGACAAACCTGAGTCTGAACCCCTACTTATTAGATCTGCAATCTTAGGCAAGGAACTTAAAATCTGGGGGTTGATATCAATTTTTTTTCTATCTATAAAACAGGAATATCTATCTTACATAGTTCTGACATTAAATTTAACGCAATAGTTTTATCACAGTATCAAGTATGTCAAAGATAATAAATAATACTTAGTATTATAAATTATATGAAAATATTTAACTTTAAGTCAAATATGACCACCTCCATTTTTTAGATGTATGGTACGTGGCAAAATAAAATTCAGACTCTTCTGGAAATCAAACAATTATCTAATGAACACAGACAGAGTCAATAGCTAGCTCTTGACACGTAAGAGTTCACCCAGAGGGCCTCCAGCAATAACTGCTGATTCTCAGGGCTTTTTTTCTTTTTCTGTATCAATAAAATAAATTCTTACCTGGGAGCTGAAATGGACTTCCTGGTCCAGAACTTGCCGGGGAGTTGGGATATGTGCTACTGGCAGGGGAAGGGGGATAGGGGCTGTTCGGAGATAAGGGAAAAGGAGTGTTGTTGGGCTGATGGAAAGAATCCGGAAATGTGGCGTTTTGTGGCATGTGCGGCTCGTTGTGGCTCAGGTTCCTAAACTGAACCAGAAGGCTGTGTTGTGGGTTGAATTCATTATGACGAGGCACTAATACTGGAGGTAAGACTGAAAGACAAAAATCAAGTTAATTGTCAAAAATGAGTAAAGCAAAGGGGTTTGGTAGAAAGGATTCATGTAAGACTGTAAACCTATTAAAATAACTTACTTTTAGGAAGGGATGTTTTATAGAACCCTGAATCTGCATTTACATAATAACTAAACCAAAAACTTTTTCAGCATTTAGCCTGTATAAGATACTCTGGAAGACGGAAAATCCAAAGATACCACTCCTGCTCTATAGGAGATAAGGCATATTAAAAAATAACCACAATACAGAGAACTTAATACAACTGGGAGTTCAGCAGAGGTGAGCACTCCCAGCTAGCAAGGAATCAAACAAAATATTGTGGGAAAACACTACCGGCTGAACCTTAAAGGACAAGAAGGATTTCACACGGGAGTGCCAGGGGTGGGGAGAGGTAGAGGAGGGAGGTGTCTCCAGGCAGAGACGAGAAAGGCCAGTCAGTGGGCCCGAGCCCTGAACAAGGAGGTGTGACTAGAGAGTGAAGTTGGGGTCTATTATGGGAATGTCCTGAAAACCTCCACATTTCCAATTTTGTACACTTTTACCTTTCTTAGTTTGAAATAGCACATATTTTATTTTCTTTAGTAAGGTTTTTCCTACTGAAAATAGTAACATTCCCTAGGTAGAAGTTTTCCGATCAAAATCAATCTTCTAAATATGACCGTAATGAAAATATATATGACAAAGTCTAAACATTTTAACAGGTATTTTTTTTAGAGATAAAGTTTAACCTCATTCAAATGTTCACTTTCTCTAAAGACCCAAATGATCACATTCAAATACCTGATTACCTTTCCCTAAACTGAAACAAACCTGAGTCTTCAAACAATAAAACATCTCGTTTATAATTTTCCTATATTTTTCAATGTAATTTCACTTTAGAAAATCTCACTTTGATTCTGATTATCACTCACCATCAACAAAATCAGTTTGTTTTTAAGTTACCTAGGTCATACTTTACACCTCCCTGAAGCAGGGATGTACACAACGAATCAGAGGCTCTGTAAGTCAGTACTTGCACTGTTTGTTTTTTGTTTCTTTTCATTCTACTGAATTAGAATTTTAGATATGTGGCTAACATCTGACTACAACTGTTCTGTTCTACTGTGTGTTAACAACTGCTGTTCTCCTTACAGAATGATGGGGCAGCTGCCCTTGGAGAGTAGGCTATTAGACAGCAAGAATTTATTTCTATGTTTAGCTGGGTAGTAATCTTAGTGAAATAACTACGTAGGAATTCAGTCCCATAAGGATTTCTTTACTTATTTATTTTTAGAGGCACAGCTAAAATCACTGGCTTCTCTCTTACTTGTAAATTATCTATGCACATAATTTTTTAAAAATTATTTTATATTCATCCAAGATATGTGGACAGTTCAAAAAGACAGATGCTGTAAGAGATCATAATAAAATAGCAATTTCTAGTCCCCTCCCATACTGTTTCCATAGACAAATTTAAATTCTTAGCCATCTTTTGTTTGGGGTTTTGTTTTTATTTCTAGACAGAGTCTTGCTCTGTCGCCCCAGGTCGAATGCAGTAGTGTCATCCTAGCTCACTGCAACTTCAAACTCCTAGGCTCAAGCAATCCTCCTGCCTCAGCCTCCCAAGTAAGTGGGACTATAAGCACACGATACAACACTCGGCTAATTTTTCTATTTTTAGTAGAGATGGGGTCTCACTCTTGCTTAGGCTGGTCTTGAACTCCTGAGCTCAAGCAATCCTCCCACCTCAGCTTCCCAGAGTGCTAGGATTACAGGCGTGAGCCATCATGCCTAGCCTTAGCCATTTTTTATAACATTTACTTTGTGTATTGCTAAATAATATATTGCTATTATTCATTTGTCAAGACATTATCTGTAGACTTGCTCTTATGGCAAATGAGGCAGCTTTTTAAAATTATTCTATCCCACTTCCATTCCCCACAATAAAGTTACATATAAAATTTTGGTTAAATAGTCAGTATTTATATTATATATATAAAATGATTCATTGCTGAGTCAACTGTACTGTGATTGTATTTTTTCTTAAAAAGTGCTTTTATCAAAGTTAACTACTGCCTTGTTCCTTCATTTGCTTAATTTTAAGTACATACCACTGATCTTTCCAGAATTCCAATAGATCTGTCAATTGCCTGTCAATACTATTTTTGGATGCCCCAAATCACCAAAAAATTTATTGGCTCCATGTTTTCCCCTGGATCTTCCATTCCTTTGTTCCAACTATACTGTTTATTATTTAAGTCTCCCATAGCTCTGAAGTCCTCGGACCTCCTTTCCCTCCTCCTATTGGATCCCATTTCCTGGACCTCCATCCTCTATTATTAGTGTCCTAAGAAAGGGTAAGAAAGATAAAATTTTTTCATTTCTTGCATGTATGAAAATATCTTACTTGTTGTCTGCAAGCAGAATTCTAGACATTTTCCCTCTGAATTTTGAGGGCACTGCTTCATTTCCTTTTAGAATCCAGAATTGCACTGAGAAATCCAATACTTCGATTTTTAATCCTTTGTACGTGTTCAGTTTTTTCTCTCTGGAATCTTTCAGAATCTTCTTTTTATCTGTGATTTACTAAAATTTCATATGTGGGTCTTTTTCTATCCCTTGTTCTGATTACTCAGTCGCTGGGCCCCTTCAATTTTCAGTTCTGGGAATTGTTCTAGTAGCATTTCTTTGAAAATTTTCTCTCTGCCATCTTCCCCTATGCTTTATTTCCAGAATGTAGTGTTCTATTAGAATTGATATTTAATCTGAAACTGATTCTGGGCCAGTTAGTGTTTTAGCAAGTACTTTTCCATGCATTGACCCATCTAATCCTCGTAACAACTCTGTGAGGTAGGTATTACTATTTCCTTTTTACAGGTGAGGAAACTAAATCACAGAAAGGTTAAGTAACTTGCCACCCTGACTATGGGGGAATACACGAAATTCTTAGACTTACTCCCAGAAAGTATCAAGCTTAGGAGTTTTTCACACTACACTTTTCTGTTAAATCCTCACACCTTTCTTCATCAAGTCCTTCAGGCTATATATAGCTCTCCTTGGACTCAATAAGAAATTGAGAATCACCTCATATCAACAGTCACATAACACTCTGAAACTCTTATGTTGAACTTTCCCTGACAGGACAATCACTGCTATCCTTTTTTTCTAGTCTCCACATTCAATGTTGTTTTAAGTCTTTTTACCATGCTGGGCTTACATTATCTCCACGTGAAACCCAATGGGGCAGACGGACTACGGTGGCTGCCAGGATTCCCACCCCTGGGTATTCATGCCACTGGGCATCAGTCCCCTCCTTTTGAGTATGATCCGTTGACTTGCTTCTAACGAACAGAATACGGCAAAGGTGATTGGAGGTTTGTGATTCTATTCCATAAGAATACAAGAAGACCCTCTCTTCCCTACTGGCTTTGAAGAAGCTGCTGCCATGAATGTGAACCACCTATGAGGAAGGCCATGTGGTAAGCAACTGAAGGCAGTCTCCAGGTGACAACGAGCAAGAATGCGACAGCTTCCAAGGAACTGAATTCCATCAACAATCACATAAGCTTGGAAGCAAATCCTTCCCAAACTGAACTTCTAATAAGACCTCAGCCCTGAACAACACCTTGATTACAGGCTTGCAAAGGACCCAAGTTAAGTTATGACTAGATTCCTGACCCACAGAAATTGTCAGGTAATAAACGCATGTTGTGTTAAGCCACTAAGTTTGTGGTAATCTGTCATGCAGCAATAGATAACTAATGCACCCAGCCAGTATCTCAGCTTATACAATTCATTCATTACAAATAAATGCAATAAAAAATACTTATTGAGCCACACCTATGAAGTGCCAGATAACAATACTATTCTAGGCACTGGGGATGCAATAATGAATGAAACGGAGGAAGGCCCTACTCATGTCAGTCAATAAAGAAAATAAATATCTAACATAGAGTCGACTAGTGATGAGGGTATTTGAGCAAGGATTGCGTGGAGTGAAAAGGGATGTGCCCCTTTCCTGGCGGGAGAGTAAGTAGAGCAAATAGCAAGACTTAAAGCCTGGATGCAGGAACATGGCAAGGTAAGGAACAGAGAAATATGAGAGTAGGCCATGAAGAGCCTTGTAGGAATCTGTTCTAAGTGTGACAGAAAGCCTTTAAAATGTTTTCATTAGGGACTGACATGATTTATGCTTTTTAAAAATCACTCTGGCTGCTGTGTAGAAAACACAATGGGTTGGGGAAAGAAGAGAGCCAGGGAGACCATCAAGAGACTACTTAAGGTGAGAGATGATGATGGTGTACTGAAGTAGTGGCGTTAGACATAGTGAGAGATGATAGTATCAAGACATATTCTGAAGGTACAGCAAACAGCACTTGTTCATAGCTCAAATACGGGACCTTAAGCGGGAAGAATAAAAGACAACCTCTAAGTTTAGGGAGTTAACAATGACATGAATGCTCGTGCCATTTACTTCAATAGAAAAAACTGGGGTAAAAAATGATTTGGTGGGAAAGAAGTCAAAAGTTCTGCTTAGACAAAGATTACATCTAATATGCTTTTTAGACATTCAAGTGAAGATGTCAAGTAAGCAACTAGATATACAAGTCTAAAACTCAGGGGAAAATTTGACTCTGCAGTTCAAAATGTGAGCATTAGCTTATAGATGATTTTAAGACATGTGACAACATGAGAGCACATAAAGAAAAGAATATAGATAGAGAAAAGGTCCAAGGACTGAGTTCCACGAACACAGAAGAATAAGCCAGCAAATGGATGGAGTAACAACAGCCAGTGAGGCGGAAGAATCAGGAGGAGAGTACACTGTCTTAGAAGCCAAACAGAGAAAAAGTTTTTGAGTGGGAAGGAAGATTAACTGTTATCAAATGCTGCCGAGAAGGCAAGTAAGATGAAGACAGAGAAATGACCCCTCGAATCTATAAGAAGTCAGTCACTAGTGATCTCAAAAAGTTAAATGGTAGGAAAGAAAGACTAAACTAGAGAGGTGACAAGAAAAGAATGGGAAATAAAACTATGGAGATAATAAAAATGGAGAATCCTATAAAAGGATCAGCAGAAATAATGCAGTAGTAGATTGGAGGTGGGAGTGTGTGAATGAGATCGAGAGAGGAATTCTTTCATAACTTTTATTTTAGTGTCAGAAATAGTCTGGTAGAAAGTGAAAATATAATGCTAGAGAGAAGGATAATTGTAGGAACAGAGTCACTGAACAGACAGAAAGAAATGGACATGTTGCCCATACGGAGCTCAGGCTTTAAATAAAATAGAGACGAGTCACCCACAGGAAAGGCAGAGTGGATGTGCGGGAGCTCACAGTGAACAGCAGAGAACTCGAATAAGCCACTTGGGAATTGTATCACTTACATATGAAAAGATAAATTCAGAATCCAATATTCCTTCCAAGATTAACATCTTTTAGAAGGAAATACAAAGCTAATCTGGCCTCCTAATTACTAAATCAGTCACATGCAAATCAGGAAGAGAGAATTATTTTTTTTAATTCTTCTTAGGGGAGTAAAACCTACCTGGACTCTCCACTCTCTTATAGTGGTATGGGTTGATACAAACTTCTTTTTGCTTGGATCCAAAAGGAAATTCACAAATATCCAATGGCTTTAGCTCATGATGACTCTGCAAATCAGGCCAGCGCCAAACACGGCAATAGATAACGTGGGGTAGGCCTTTTCTGTGAGAAACCTGCAGGCGTCCATCTAAAGACCTGGGAATGGTGACGCACTTGCTCGGCTGTCCGGGACTGCTCAAGGCCTTCTCCAGCTCCTCCATGGCGCCCTTTTTCTTCTTCAGCTTTTTCACCAACGCGTCGACTGCCTTTTCCGCCCATTTCTCCTCCTCGTCACCTTGTTTCCAGCCCAATAATCGCTTTACTGCTGGACTAGTAAAAGAAAACAAGCTGGCCATTGACGTCATTTGATAAAAATCTTCAGAGACCTTCCTGTAACTCAAAGTCAACGGCTACTGAAAGAACAGATCACAGGTGAAGAGTCGTATACAGGTTCTAAGCAGAAGTTCCAATTAAAAAGGGAGAAGTAACATCTATCTTCACAAGTGCCATATGCTTCTTTCATTGGTTCAAGTCCTGAAAGAGAAAGGGGGAAAGGATCCTAACTGAAATCAATTCAATTTACATACATTTAAATCAACATAATTGAAATGTATATTATTTTTATGTAACTGCAGAAAAACATTACAAAGTAAACAGAAAACAGAGAAATTTTCTCTAAAAGATCCGTGACCATTCACTTTCTTTTTCAAGTCACTGGCAATGCCAAACAATAACCAAAGAAAACCAGGTTGCTGTACCTTCTATGTGTTATCCAAAGAAAACAGCCTTTGGTCAGGCCATTAAGCCGTACAACGGTCTTGTAAGATTTGAATCTCAAGTACTTTTCTTCACTGAAATCCATGTCACATGCTATGTCAGTTCTGAACATGGTATGTCAGGATCTGAATAAAAACCTTAGGAGAAATCTACGTCTCCCTTAAGGTCATTATTCTCTTTAAAATGTTTCACAGACTTAGAAAGTTTGGGCAAAGGCCATGACACTATTCAAGTCACATTATCAAATGCAACCTGTATTAAAGGCTGTGTAACATGCACCAAACCCTTGAATGAATCACAACACATATAACTACCAGTATATATTTTTAAAACTAAGAATGTTCAATAAATTTAAAGAGAATAAACTGACCCAAACCAGGTCAGTTTATAATTCCTATTGGCTTCTGTGATGTTTTAAACATATTAGTTAATGAACCTGCTCCAGGCAAACTACCATTCTGCACCATAAAGAAGCTCTTGGCAATGACAAGAGGAAGTGATGTACAGGGGCACTCCGCTGGTAAGAGTAGGCAAAATCCCCCTGTAGATCACTACACAGCCAACTACAGACGATAAGCACCTAGCGAAACAGGAGGAATAATGTTTAAACAATGGAAGTCAGTAAGAAAAGATGCTTCCTTTCTTGTGCCTAAAATCACCAAAAACCGTTAAAGCTCAGCCTTTGACAAAGTCTAGCAAATTCTCGTGTTAAGATTATTCTGGACTGGGGTGTATCTTCCCAGAAAATAATAGATGTGCTCAGTTAAAACCCAGACAATAACATAAACAAAGACAATAACATAAAGTAAAACTGAGTTAAACTCAAAAAATAATTATTGATTGCTTATGTGCCCTGTATTGTGAACAGCCATGATGGGGCTTAAAAAAAAGTTATACCAAGTAAGTTTCATCTCAAGAATCAACAGATTCATTCATTCAAAATATACTTATTGAGAGCCTACTAAGTGCCAGGCACTGTACTGTTCTGAGCGCTGATCAACTACTAGTGGCCTTCCAGTCTGCTGTGCTGGAACCATGGGGCGAAGGGTGCCCAGAAGTGAATATATACTCCTTATGTATGGACGTGCCTCATGCCTTGTCTTCCCTAACTCTGTGCATACAGGGTGATTTCTGCCAGGCAAGTAAAACTGGCTACATTAAACTAGAGACATGTAACAAGAGAATTAAAGTATATTTTTCAGTAACAGGTCACAGAGCGTTAGATGTTACATGCTAAATTAATTTTAAGAAGGGCAGACCTCAGTTGTGGCAACATCAAGGATGGATGTAGGATAGGATCTCTCTGGACCAGAAAGTAAAACCATGGTTTGCATGTGTCAGATGAAACAGGAAATTTCAAAGGTATAGGGATATAAACAAAAAAATACATAGGCAGACATGAACAGAGCATTTCCTGCGACAGAGAGGAGACAGACCTGACTGATTTGAGATCTTAGTCACGAACACTGCAATATAATAGGGGCTAGACGGGGCAGTGTGTGTGTGTGAGAGTGTGTGTACGAGCAATCGAGAGAGATGTTGAGGAAGAGGGAGGTAAAAACGGAGGAGCTTGAAGACCAGAATTCAGAATACACATTTCATTCTAAATACAGCAGTGTGTATAGAAACAATACAATTAACTGTGACAAAAGGGGCTTAAACTCGATATAAGAGTGCTATGCAACCCTTGAAAAGAATAAGGTGGACACTGTAACTTTGGGCAAGGTACTTTACCTCTGGGTCTGTTTCCTCATCTATAAAATAGGAATAAGTTATTATATATAAATAATTTAGAACTGTGCAGGGTGCATAGAAAGTATTTAATAAATGCAAACTATTAATACTTAATCATTAAGTACTAGCCATATTATGTACTAACACGAAAAAAAGGAACGTCATTTGTATACGTGAACACAGAGAACGAGGACTGGAAGGCTACCTACTAAATTACCCATTTCACTTACCTCTAAGGAGAGGCATGGAATGGGAACAATGCAGAAAAAAGGGGTCCTGCATGATTTGTTCTACATACTTCTGAATTGTTTTAACAACAGAAATCTACTAAAGCATTACTTGCATAATGCTACAGTAAAAGCAGTAGATAATCTATTAAATAAAAACGAATTATGGTGAACAGAATGAAGTTAAGAGTGCTAGTACAAAAACCAGGCGAAACTAATGCATGGTATTCCAAGTCAGGACTGTGGTTACCCTTTGAAGGGAAGGGTGGGGGTAGTAAATAGAAGGGAACCTGAGGGGCTTCTGGCTCTGGATGGTTACATGGGAGATTCCAGTTAGTGAAAATACAGCCGGCTAGATGCTTATGATGTATACACTTTTCTGTATGATTCTGAAATATTTTCTTGACATACAAAAAGTATACAGTGGTCTGTTTTCCTCCCATTTTTTTCTCCCTCATCAGCTCCCTTCTCACAGGTGATCCCTTTTATATGTCTTTTATATTCTTCCAGAGAAGTTTCATAAATGAATAAGCAAATACAAAAAATATATTGTATTTTTTTAAATAGTTGTATACTGAAAAAAGGTACAGAAAAATGTATGCACATCTTCAGATTTTTTCATATCGATATAGAAAAAGCTTCCACATTCTTTTCTACTACACAGAATTCCAGTGTAAAAGTAGTATTATAAGTAGGTCAAATCATGTTATTCATTTCCCTGCTCAAAAATCATCCAGTGGCTTACCATTTCACTCAAAATCTAAAGTACTGGCCGGGTGCGGTGGCTCACGCCTGTAATCCCAGCACTCTGGGAGGCTGAGGCGGGAGGATCGCTCAAGGTCAGGAGTTCGAGACCAGCCTGAGCAAGAGCGAGACCCCCGTTTCTACTAAAAATAGAAAGAAATTAGCTGGACAACTAAAAATATATAGAAAAAATTAGCCAGGCATGGTGGCACAAGTCCCAGCCACTCAGGAGGCTGAGGCAGGAGGATTGCTTGAGCCCAGGAGTTTGAGGTTGCTGTGAGCTAGGCTGATGCCACGGTACTCTAGCCCGGGCAACAAAGCGAGACTCTGTCTCCGAAAAAAAAAAATCTAAAGTACTTATTTGGATTTTATTTTATAGGATCTACACGATCTGGCCCTTTGGCTTCTCTTCCTAACCCATTTCTTAACCATGCTTCTAGCTAACTCTGCACTTAACCATACTTGATTTCTTTACCATTTCTCAAGTACACCAAGGTCATTTCTACCTCAAAGCCTATGAACTTGATGTTCCCTCCCCTGGAATTTCCTTCTCCCAGATCTTAACATGGCTTACTCTCGCAATTCATTTAGCTGCTCGAAGGTCATCTCCTGAAAGAGGAGACCACTGACCACTTTATCCAAAACAACATACACTTCATTCTTCCCACGTCAATCTCTATCGCCTGACCCTGTTCAATTTTCTTTCACGGCATTTACCTTAACCTGATACTGTATTATAGATTTTATTTATTTACTGTACGTTTTCTGCACTGAAATGTTAGTAAGCAGGTGGTCTCATCTTCCCTCTCAACTGCCAGATCCCCTGGACCTAGAATAGTGCCTATTTATAAAATAAATAAGTGAAAAAAGCCATTTGCAAAAATACACATATCCTTTTTAAGAATACCTGTATAAAATTCTTAAAAATACATTATTTATGGATATCTACAAATATGAGAAAATAAAAATATGTATGGAAATGATACACACCAACCTCAGGACACTAAATACTGGTTGTCTCTAGTGAGCAGGGAAAGAAGGGTGAAGAAAGGATGGAAAAAACTTTAGCTGTGTGTTTTTTTAAAACAAGATTTGAAGCAAATATGGCAAATCGTCTGTCAAGGTACATAGACATGTTATGTTCTGTACTTTTCTGTGTATTTAAATATTTCATAAGAAAAAATTCACTATTTTTAATTTTTAATAGTATGTAAACAGAAGGGAGATCAGATTCTGTCCTTTACTAGGTATATGACCAAGACTAGGTATCACTCTTTCAAAGCCTATTAATTTCTCTTTAACAGAGATGATGGTCCCTAAGTCATTGAAATGTTTGAGTAATAAAATAATAATGTATGTCTAACACGTGCTTTACAAACTAAAGTGTACTGTTCGAACATCAATTATGATCATCAGAAGTCAGAAACAAGAGTCAAGAGACTGGCTAGATCTAGTCCTACCTAACTTTACCCACCACTATACACACCTCTGATCCAACCCAAATCCCTGCACCTCTGTCCATCTGTGTCTTCCAAGACAAATCTTAGTCATCCTTAATGATGAGCTCAAATCCATCCCCTTTTATGAAGACTTCCTTCACCACCCTTCTCTGAAGAAGCTATGATCATGGATTATTTATCATAACAACTAATTAATTAACGAGAACATACCTTAACTTCCCAAATGGAGTACAAAATCCTTCCAAGAGGAAGTCTTCAGCACCTGGCACTTTTCCATACACAATACCACACACTATGAGTGTATTTAATGAATGGTCATTGATTTTTCTATCAACTGTGCCTTGAAATTAGAGATAACTTGAAATTTTAAACCCACATGACTAAGATAATAAAAATTCCACCAACAGAATTCAGAACATTCAGAAGGTAGCTTTGTCAATAGAGATGATTACAAACTTCAAATTGGGAAAAGGTCATGACTTCTGGAAATACAAGTTTAGCGAGGTAAAGATGAGAAACATTTAAGACATTTTACAAACAGCTGAAACAATAAGAAAGAATAGGTTTTTCAACAGAGTGAAGAGAACAGCAA